AAATATTTTATAGCATTTGATGGTAGTACTGGAAAATGAAATCATTAGAAACCAGAATTAATAATATGATGGGAATAAAAGTAGATAATTGGCAAATACGCAAATCTCTGCACTGTGTTTGCTATGGGAAATTTTGTGTGATTTATGACACAGTCCTTGCTTTCAAGGAGTACTTAGAATTTAATCACTTAGCTTCCAAATGGTCATTTTCCAGAGAAAAATGAGCCCAGGAGATAGTACTAGAAACCCTGGAATAAATCAGATATATCTTTTATTTTGTACATGCTTTCCTATACAAGGAAAAGAATAGCTAAGGGTAGGAAAGCTTGGCTTCATAAGAATTGCCAAGTGATGCTCTGTTACCCAGGCAGGAGAAGATCCCAGAAATTAATGAAAACCATTGGAGGCAGGGAATGTGTGTCACCTACTTCATGGGCAATAATATATACACTGATGAAATCATGGATCCTTGAGATAGTAAAATAAGTATGTGTTCCACAAGTAAGGAATTCAGCTATTTTTCCTTCCTATTTCCTTCCTTTTTTTTCTTCAGCTGTAGGATTTATCACAGAGGTTTTATGCCTTTTGTTAAAAGCTTTCTTTTTCAGAATTTTGGTTAGCTTGCTCTGGCCTTTTTATTTAACTGTAGAATGATACATATATACATACATATATACATATATATACATACATATATACATATATATATATACATATATATATACATATATATATATATATATTATATATATATATATATATATATATATATATACAAGATGGGAGAAAGACAGAAAGAGACAAAGACAGAGAGGCTCAGAAAGACACACATGGTGACAGAGTAGATAGCACAAATAGTTTCCCTATCTTATTTGACTCCTTCATGCTTATCCTTAGAAAGGTTCAATATGACTTTCCTCTCTTCATTACAGAGATGGGGGTGAGGAGGAAGATTATGGACAGACATAGTCAATGCATTGTTGAGTTTTGCTGAACCTTCTTTTTATCCTTTATTTGTTTGATCTTTGTAACAAGGGACTGTTCAAGGTTTAGGGAAGAGTAAAAACACACTCAGAAAACAAAAGTGATGTAAAAAGAGAAGTCATCAATACTAAGATAAAATGTTAAGTGTTGCATGTTATGTTTGAAGGCTATTATAAATGATTGTAGCCTGGGGCCATGAAACACTCAAATACTCAAATGGATCTGGAATCTTATTGATTTAAGGAGTTCTCACCCTATGGGCCTTCCTTCATGTCCTCTCTTGAATTCACCAGAGGTGTTGGCCCAACATTCTGGAAGCTGCTTTCCCCTGTTCCTAACATTGTATGGATATCAACGGAGCTCTTTGGCTGTCCACCTGCCATTCCTTTGGCAGCCATCTCTCTCTGTTTAGCAACCAAGTCAAATGTTTGCTGACTGAGTGCTTTTGGGGCTTTTTGGATCTTTGCTTTGTGGCAATAGATTTACAAAAGTTACAGTTCCATATAAAGATATTGTAATCACTGTCACTGTCCATTTCCCAGTTTCTATTGCTATTACGGAACCTTCAAATCACAGAATCGAATAATTTTGAGAGTTGGAAGGGACCTCAGGGAATCATGTATTCAGGAGCACTAGTACTTCTGTTGGAAGGCTTGCTAAGCCCCCTGCAAGGCTGCTCATTTACCTTTGGTGTCCCCCTGATTCATCCAATTCTCACCTGTGGCTCCAAGAAGCTATAGCACATGCATCAGCCACACCCTGGTAAAATTGTCTCAGCAGATGGGCTAAAGTGATAGGTTCCAGACTCGTTAATGAGTTAAGAAGGTGTCTATCCCAAGCATGTGAAGATTTCCCTCAGCAGAATGGGAGCATGAGAACTGTTTGCTCCAACAGCCATGAAGGTTTCTGAAGAAGGCACGGTGGAGTGCTTAGAGCTTGATTAGGCATCAAAGATGCCAAGGTCATCCACTGCCTCCTGGGCCACAGCCAGTGACCTTGACTTTTGTCATGCCACTGGACTTTGATGACTTTGGAAGAGAGAGTGAAGCTGACGACTTTATACATCTTTGCCTCACTTAAATCCAATTCATTCGTGAGTCAAGACATCACCTGTGATGCCATTAGTTGGTCCTCTTCAAAAACAAAGGAGAAACAATAGTCCATCCCATACACAAAAGGAATCCTCACTATGCCATCCCTGACCAACAGTCATCCAGTCTTTGCTTGAAGACCTCTAAGGAGGGCTAACCCATATCACCACCTCTCTTAGCTCTGATTGTTAGGCCATTATCCCCCAACAATAAGCCTAAATTTGCCTGTTTGTTTGGAACTTCTACCCATTATTCCTATTTCTTCCCTCTGAGAGCAAAAACAGCTGCTATGTCCATCCTGAACCTTTTTTCTCTAGGCTAAAGACACCCAGTTTTTTCATCCAATCTTCAAAGGTCATGGATTCAAATGCTTCCTACCATGTTTGTCCTCCTCTCTAGATTAGTAGTAATAGTGGGTTCTCTAGATCATCAATGTCTTACTTAAATTCTGGTTTCCTAACCTGAACACAGTACTATAGAAGAGGTCTGATGAGGGCAGAGTACATTGGGACTATCACCTCCTGATTCAGGCAAGTTATGCCTTGAAATCCAGTCCAAGATGGCATTAGATTTTTTTTTTTGGCAGCCACATCCTACTGCTGACTCATAATGAACTTGAAGCTCACTAAAATCCCCAGATTCTTTTCAGAACAACTTATTAATCTCTAGTTTATTCCTATGAAATTGATTTTTGTACCCTAGTACAAGCCTTTGAATTCATCCTCATCAAACTTCATCTTATTAAATGCAACATGCACCATCTTAGGCCCGTCGACATTCTTTTGGTGCCTGACTCTGTCATCCAATATATCAGCTACATCTCCCAGCTTTGTGTCATTTACACATTTAATGAACGTTTCTTCTATGCCTTTATTCAAGCCGCTGATAAAAAGGGCAAACACCTCCTCCCCAGGGGAAAAACAAAACAAAACAAAAACTAAAGCACTACAAATGTAGCATTATATTTGGATGTCATTATGTAGAATGAATGGTTTTTTTCTGTTTTAATAAGGAGATAGGGGATGGCATTATAGAGACAGAGCTATGTGTTTGATGGTAAGCATGATAAGGTAGCAAGTAACACGATATACTAGTCTCCAAGATTGTGAATGAAAATAAGACAGCTAATAATCAGAATCTTAGGCTATAGAAAGAAATGCTGTAGTCCAAGCTGTAGGGGCTACACAAAGGTAGTTTTTACCTCTTCCAGTCTAGGGAATAATAATTCTACACAGGTCAGAACAATTAAAGCCTGAATCTGTAGTGAATTGCTTACCAATAATGAGAAGTAGAATTGACGGTCAACTAGGGAAGGAACAAGACATAGACCAAGGTTAGGTGGTTTACATGGGTTACTAAAACAGGAGAGAGCACCCAGGCTGTACCCGAGTAATCAAAGCTTTTGTCTACTAATGTGAAGGGGAACATTAGCAAGAATAGTTCAGATGAGCAAGCAGATTCTGGCTTAATGCTGGAGTGTGCGTGTCAGAAATCATTTGGGCCAACTCCTTCAAGAAAAAAGTCTAACTAGAATCCAATTGCTCTTAAACTTTCTTTGGTGCCAGAATCTTTAATATGAAACAAAGCAAAAAGTTTACATAAGGGGAAGAAAAGGGAATAAGCCTTTATATAGTACCGGCTATGCTCTGGGTACTCTGCCAAGTACATTACCAATATTATCTCACTTTAAACTCACAACAAATCTGTGAGCTAACTGCTATTATTATCCTCATTTTACAGTTGAGGAAACTGAGGCATATAGAGTTTAAAAGAGACTTGCCCAGGATCACAGGACTAGAAAGTGTCTGGGGTCAGATTTGAACTTAGATCTTCCTGACTCCAGGCACCCACTCTATCCATTGTACCACCTAGCTGCTTTATTCAGTAAAAATTCAGTAAAAAGGGTGGAAATAGTTCAGATCTGATTGTTTAGCTTGAATTTTGCCAGGAGGAGTAGATAGAGCACTGAACTTGAAGCTCAGACATTCTGAGTTCAAATACTTCCTCAGATACTTACTAGCTGTGTAATCTGGGGAAAGTCACATGACCTCTCTCAGCCTTAGTTTTAGTCCTCTATAAAATAGAGATAACAACAACAACTACTTCATAGAGTTGTTAATAGGCTCAAATCAGATCAAATAGGTAAGGCACTCTGTAAACTTGAAAGTGTATTGTTGTTAACAACTACTGCTGCTGCTGCTGCTGCTACTACTGCTACTGCTACTACTACAACTACTCCTGCTACTACTACTACTACTACTGCTACTACTACAACTACTACTGCTACTGCTACTACTACTACTGCTGCTACTGCTACTACTACAACTACTACTGCTACTACTACTACTACTGCTACTGCTACTACTACAACGATTACTGCTACTACTACTACTACTACAACTACTACTACTAACTGGAAGACTATGTGCCACTATTTTACTGATCCAGTGAGGGAGTAAAGTATTTGTGTGGCCAACAGGTTGAACTCTACATGAGCCACAAATCCAGTAGCCTCCTCAATTTCTCTAAGTCACGTGCTTAGGACGATATTCCTAAAAGGCTATGATATTTCTATTAGCTACCAGAGGGCACTCAGCCTAAAGATGCCCGGATCACTTTGCACTTTTGAGTATGTTGCTCCTGTAGCTAAATTAAGCGTTTTGTTTCAATTTCTGCTCACTGGGTTCAGATTTAATCTAGGGGATAAAAAAGGAATATGACTCACTCCTTGGGAGCTCTCCAGGTTCCTCTCTCTGGTCAGAATCCCCCCCCCCCCAATTTAAAGACCTAAGATTATGTCATTTTACAAAATGTAAAGTGAAAGGAACTCAATGAAGTGCTCCAATATAGAGACATCAGATACCTCTGACATCTCCTAAACCTGTTCCCAATTTCCCTCCTAATCTTTGGGAATGGCAAAGGAATTCCCGACCACGTACCCCAGAGCTCATGGAAAGGAATAACGGAAGAGGGTATCCACTCCCTAGCTCAAGATCATGAACTGTAAGCAATGGAAGCAGGGGCATTAATATTGGAAGTCAGTCTATCCCTCCAAGTTTACCAGACTAATGGGATTCATAGCTGGCAGTCTCAGCAACTCAAGATCTTCTCTTCTTCTGATTCCCTGTCCTAGGATTTGTTTCTCTTCCGCAGTGCTTATTTTGATTATCTCACTCCCTGACTACTTACATCTCTGTCCAAAGCAGCAATGGCAGCAGTCAAGATAGCTCAGGCCATGCCTATGTATCTCAGGGAAGCCTAGCAGTTTAAATCTAAGATCAATGGAAAAAAGAGAAGCTAAGAGTGGATGCCCTAGCAGCCTGCCTTCCCATAGAGGGGCTTCCTGTTGCATGTATTCAGGGAAGGACAACTTTTACTGTCATAGATTTGTCTTGGAGAGGAAAAGGGTAGTCTCACTTTTGACAGGGTGTCTTGAAAATTTTGTTCCACCTCTTTCTGTCTTTGGAAACTTCTTGGCCCTTCTATTTCCTTTCACTGTGATTATTTCCTGTCAGCCACTGATGCTGCTACTATACCCTATGACCAAACCTCCAAAGACTGTGCCTTAGAGAAGTCTTAGAACTCCTGCCCTGGGGTTCAAAGGGACAATGATAATAGATGATATAGAGAAAGTTGAGTAGCTCAATTTTTATTTTGCTTGTTTTTTCTACAAGGAAAAATGATCTTTGAACTAAAAAGAACAGAGGAAAAACTGTTAGGGAATGGTTACCTAGGATGGGTAGGGAAGGATTAAATGTATCCTGAGCTGCCTTGATGAACTGCCCAGGTTCAATTAATTACATCCTGTGGTAATAGTAGACTTGATTGTTGAACCACCATCAATGATATTTAAATGGCAAAAAATACTTTAAAGCTGAAGAAGAACGAATGTCCCATTAAAAAAGGAAACAATGGAATGTATAGACCAATGAATTTGACTTAAATTCCTGGCCAAATTTTAGAAAGGGACATGCTGAAGAGATGCCTAGGGAATATTTAGAAAAGGAAGCAGTGACCACAAAGGTGCCGTATAGTTTTATCAAGAAAGATCATGCCAGAGAAATCTCATTTCTTTTTTTTTTTTTGATAGCAGAGAAAGGCTATGTAGTTGACACAGGTTTTAGTAAAAAATTTGGTCACATCTTATGACATTTTTGTGAAAAACATACCAAGATGTAGGCTGGATTTGGAGCTAGTTGGATATCCAGAATGGAAGAATAGCCATTGATTGGTTAATGTTGACTCAGAAAGAGGTCTCTGGTGGAGTAACCCAGTGATCTGTGCTTGGCTTCCTACTGTTTAACATTTATCTCACTGATTTGGTTAAAGGCTTGCCTATTAAATTTGCAGATGACATGAAGCTGGGAGATAGTTAAGACATTTTAGATGATAAAATCAGAATAAATGTTAAATCTTCCAATTGGGTTAAAAAAATGAAGTCCATAAGTAAAAAATGGAGGTGGTATCACTAGATGGTGGTTCATTAGTAAAAAAAAAAAAATCTGAGGGTTTCATTGGATTGCAATCTGAGTTAACATGTATTATGACAGTTGACATAATTTAAAATTGCATTAAGACAGGTATAGCATTCGGCATTTATGGACATGACAGTCCTATTGTACTTTGTTGTAATCAGACCACATATTCAATACTACGGTTCTTGGAGCCATATTTTAGGAAGCATGTAAATATGTTGGAAAGTTCATAGAGGAGAATGATCAGGATGTTGAAGGTCATTGAAATCTTGTCATGTGAGGATTGATTTAAAGACCAGAAAGTATCTTTAGCCAGGGGAACAGGAAACTTAGAGAGTACTGGAATGGAAGTAGCTGGAACGGAAGAGGGATGAAGATTTGTCCTTCTTTGCCCCAGAGGAGAAAACCAGGAACAATGCATTGAAGTTGTAAAGAGGCAAATTTAAGCTTGGTATAAGGACAAACTTTTTAACGATTATAGCTCTCCCAGAATGGAATGGACTGACTCAGGACAAGGTGGGTTCTTCCTCACTGGAGGTCTTCAAGCAAAGTCTGATTCATACTTTTACAAGATGGTGTAGAGGGGATACTTTATGTGTATGGATTGAACTTGATATATCTTGAGATCCCTTCCAACTCTGAAATTCTGTGATTCTGTGAAAAAAGTAGCAGCAGAATTCCAGTTTGGGCAAGAGAAGAGACTAAATCTATGAGCAAGCATTTAAGTGCCCCAAATGTGGCAGAAACTGTGCTAAGCACTGGAGGGACAAAGAAAAAATTGAAGTAGTCCCTGCCCTCAAGTAGCTTATGTTCCTTTTTTTTTTTCAGTTCCCTCCCCCAAGGTCTCTTTATTTTATTTCTTTATTTTCAGTAAGGAGTTTATGTTCTGAGAGGGAGGTAAGTCATCAAATAGCCTCCTAGCTGTCTCCACCTCTTGCTTCCAGTTTTTGTCTTGAGGCTACAAACTGATGGTCAGAAAGTGGAAAAGCTAACTCTTCTTTTCTCTACTATCCTAGTAGGGGTGGTCCTTCCTGTTGATGTTTCAGTTACTGGCAGCCTTGGCCAGTACCATGTAGTTGCTCAGCCCCTCCTGTCTAGCAGGAAATATGTCCAGCAATGGATTTCACTAAAATAAGCATTAGGAGTCCTGAGGGCAAGGAAAGGCTGAACTGAGTATAGGAAAAAGAGAGGCAAGAGGCAAAGATTCCACAAGGGGTGAAAAGGAACCCAGAAAATGAAAGGTGAGTGCTCCAATGTTGACTCATTTCAGTTTTTCCAAAGACTGGCTCCTCATTACTCCTCAATTCCTTCTTTCGAAAGAACCCAAACTTTGCACCATTTCACGGTGAATACAGCCCCCGAAAGTTTCCTTTTTGATCAGTGTTGCTCAGGATTTGCTACTTTGGGAATTGGGAGGCCAGCTCCTGATGTTTTTGATAATAAAAAGCTAGGTGGAACGGAGCCCAGAGCCTGATAGATTCAGTTGATCTTGGCATTTCCAAGAAAGGCTGTCTTTTTGTTGGAGTCACTGGTTTCCTTTTGCCATTTCCAGGAAAAGAATTAGATATGTAGGGAAGAAAACCTCCTTTTCAATTTCTTTTGAACAGGAGAAGAAGAAATAGAATATTGTACAAAGCAAAAACAAAATAAAAACAAGAACAGACTTTACATACAACCCTTCCATCTGAACCAGAGGTACTGGAATTATGGGCCATAACTAGCACAGAGCAGGCCCAATAGAATTGATTGACTGAACAACTGATTACTTCCTTACTACCAGGAAGTCTCTTTAAGTTATAAGAAGGCACTCCCTTTTCTGGTTTTTACTTCTTCTCAGTTTGCCTTTGTCTCATATGTTGCAAAAACATATAATATACACACACATCTGCAATAAATTTTGAGAATACCAACTTACAGAATTGCAAATTGTCAATTGCCCATTCCAGATCATAAGCATCCCAGTCCTTTTAAGTTGTATTGATTAATCGTACTTCTAAGAAACTGGATGTCTGAAGTACACAGTGCAAGTAACATTCCAGATCTGTAGACCTCAGAATTTCTAGTAAGAAATTATCAGGGGGCAGCTAGGTAGCACAGTGGACAGAGCTCCGGTTTTGGAGTCAGGAGGACCTGAGTTCAAATCCAGACTCAGATACTTGACACTTACTAGCTGTGTGACCCTGGGTAAGTCACTTACTGCCAACTGCCTCACCAAAAAGCAAAAAAAAAAAATCATCAGAACAATGCATATCTTCAATGTTGGGAACAACCATGCTTGCCTTCCTTAGTGATACTCTGGGATTTTCTGGGGGACTTGGTTGATGTCCTTTCTCCTCTCTCTTGAAGACAAATTCTCTTGGAGAAAGATGGAAACATAGTTATTGTTTAAATCACAGAGCTGGAAAGGATTCCAGGAGATTATCTGTTTTCACCCCTGCTTCATTTAGTACTGTAGCTAAGAAAGGTGATCATCTACTGTTTTCTTAAATATATTCAGGGAGCTCCTTGAGAACAGGGACTCTCCCCCCCCAACTTTCTTTGTATACCCAGCACTTAGCACAGTACCTGGCACGTAGTAGGTGCTTAATTCGTGCTAGTTGAGGGACCGATTTTCCTGGTAACCCATTCTAGTGTCTAGCAACTCTCAAGGTGAAAAGTACACTTCAACTGGACTTGATTATCATTATTCTGCCCTGTTCTTCCCTTCTGGCTTCACAATGTTACTTTGGAAACTGAGGAAGGGAGCAAATTTATTCTTCCCTCCTTCCTCATTTCTCTTCTCTGGGCTTATTTTGAGTAAATGTAACCTTTGATTCATGAAGCATCATGAATTGTAGTTGGCAGTACTTTGCATAGCCAACATACTTCTACACATCTTTGAGATGGATGTCTCCAGGACTTATTGGTCAATACAGAGTCTACAATACAGACTGATTTCTATGCTAATACAACTATACTGGTAGGTCTCAAACTGCTGCAATGCCTGATATTATATGACACAAACTAATACAGTGCTTGGTATATCATGGATCCTACTTTATGCTCCAATCCACCTTCCCCATTCCCCACTCTGTGCTGACATACTGATTGATTGACTGACTCTCCAATACGTAGCTTTCCTGGAACCTCAGAAGCAATTGTAATAGCTAACATTTCCAGAGAGAGGTAGTGCTAAGCCAAGTAATGGAAAGGGAGCTGTCTCAGTGTCAGAAATACATCAGTTCAAGTCCTACCTTTGATAAATACTGACTCTGGGACCCCAGGCAAGTCAGTGCCTCTTAGTGTCCCAGGCAACTCTCTAAGATTCTAAATTTTTATTTGACATTTTAGCCATTTTTCAATAATATCCGTCTCTTTGTGACCCCACCTGAGGTTTTCTTGGCAAAGATACTGGAGTGGTTTGCCATCTCTTTCTCCAGTTCATTTTACAGATGAGGAAACTGAAGCAAGCAGGGTTAAATGATTTACCCAGGGTCACACAGCCAGTTAAGTGTCTGAGGTCAGATTTGGACTCAGGAAGATGAGTCTTCCTGACTCCATTCCTGGTACTCTATCCATTGGGCCACCTAAGTTACGCATGAGGACATTTAGGCCCAGAGTTAAGTGCCTTACTTAAGGTTTTATAGCTAGTAAGTAGCAGAGACAGGATTTGAACCAAATTCTACTCAAAATCCAACACTTACTCCTCCCCAAATCAAATGAACACATAAAAAATTAAATGAGGAGTAAAATATAAAAAAAATTATTCATTTACTTGATATCTCTAAAAGATAAACTTCTTGAAGATAGTCTAAGGTTTGGGTAGAATGGGCCACCTTGGCAGGCAGTGGAGTGCTTGTGTTGAGGATGCTATATGTGGATTCATGTTCTATCTGCCCCTTGGAATCCTCTCCTACCTTAAATCTAACTTAACTTTGCCTCTTTCTAACTTTTGTGCTTTCCTTCTATTTCTATGTTTTGAGATGAAGCCTAACAGTTGAAGGACTAAGGATTTCTACCCATCCTTTCAAGACCAATCCAAATGTCACTTCCTTCAGGAAGCCTTCCTTGATTCCATGCTACCTCTTTGGACAGACTTTATAACACTTTCTCCAGCTCAGACTTTATAACACTTTGTTTTTGTCCTCTTTAATGTACTTATGATATGTTATCTTTATGTGTGTATATTTGATGTCCTTCTATAACATGTAAACTCCATGAGGACAGGCATCTTATCCTGCTGAAATGTACCTCTTGCCATGTGCCCAGCACTAAACAGGTATTCTCTCTCTCTCTGTCTCTCTCTCTCTTTCTGTCTCTCTCTGTCTGTCTCTCAATATTTATCTACATCTATGTTGATAACTATGGGTATCTACTTCTATAGACACATCTCTCTTTAAAGAGATAGAGATCATGATAGACTTGCAATTTCGTCAGTGTTAGGAGCTCCTAGTGAAGAACTCCCTCTACCAGGGCACTTAGTCTGTGATTTACAGGCCTAGAGAGTGGCCTTGGACACCAAAAGGTTAGGTGATTTCTCTAGGGTCACATAACTAGTATGTATCAGAGATGAGATTTGCACTCAGATCACTCTGAATGGAAGGTTAGCCCTCTATCCATCAGTATCTATACGGTTGTTGACATTTTAAAAAATCTAGCATCCCAAATAATACCTGGCACATAGTAGGCAGTTAATGAATTCTTTCTGGTTGATTGATTGTCTAAATGAGCTCTGAAGTCCTTTCTAATGTTAAATCTAAAAAAATACTCATAGAGAGAAGTTTTTATTATCTGTTGCTGTATAGTGCCCAGCAATATTGACTGAACCCAGTACTGCTGATTCCAAATAAGGAAAGTTGAACAGAGAACAAAAGAATTGTCTAAAAACACCTTTTAAAAGTCAACAAGAAGGTTATCAACTTACAAGGCGGACAATTGCCCCAATTGTAATTTTACTGACAACATGTCAGAGTCTTGACAATGACTTTGGAATCTTGATGACCCTCGCAATCTCGAGGAACAAAGGAATCAGGGAGAGGAAGGTGAAGGTGCTAAAGGGGAGTATAAGAAATACAAAAGAAAGATGACAGGGTGACAAGTTAAACATAATCCAGGGAATAAAAAAGTCAGAAGCCTCCTCCACAGTACACCTACAAACACCTGCCCTTTTGTTAAACGCATAAAAGCGTCTCTCCTTTTAACTCTTTAGCTTCCTGGGTTGAGGGGAATACAGTGATGCTGGTGGTGGCTGAGAGGGATTTTGTCTGGAGCCCCTTAAGCAGAGCTGGTCTGATAGGTCACATGTTTATTCTTACTAGGTTTTTGACTTGTTCCTTCCAAATCTTAGTGACCCCCATCTCTCTCTGGGATTTCATCTTGCATACTCCTGAACATAAACTTTCTCCCAAACTCAAGGGGAATTTACTGGTTAAAGAAGATCTAGTCACATCACCATAATTAAGAACAATTGTTAGCTTAAATTGGAAGCTTCCTGCATTTATACAGATTTTTGAAAGGCAAGAGAAATTATAAACTCTTTTGATTTTGGCTTTTATATCTGAGGTCAAGTCCAACTTTTTCACTTATTGTCATTGTTCTCTGAGAGCCTTTGATGTTTCTTATTAGGGCCAGTGTAGAAGACTACGCCCCAAGACATGATTGGATTATAGAACTTTGGACTGGAAGGAACCTTAGAGATTATCTAGTTCAAACCCGTTATTTTACAGATGAAGAAGCTGAGGGCAGAGAGGTTGAGCGCTTTGCCCAATGTCCCATATATAGTATGTATCACAACTAGTGTTTGAACCACAGTCCTCTGACCCCAAAGACAGAATTCTTTTTGTTATAACTTACTCCTTCTGAAACTTTGCTGTTTCAAAATTTCATCCAGGGCTGGCATAACTGATGTTACATATCACTTCTACCTTCTGCACTCTGGTGAACAAATCTAATCTTTACAACCCATCAAAGAAAGAAAGCTATTAAATCCCTATTGAGTTTTCTATTCTTCAAACTAAATAGCCCCAGTTCCTTTAACCAGTCCTCATATGGCATGATATCAAAGCCTTTCACCATTCTGGTTGTCTTCCACTGAATTTCCTCCAGCTTATCAGTTATTTTTCTGAATTGTGTTGTCCAGAATTGAATAATATCTCCAGATGCGGTCTGCCCAGGGCAGAGTAGAGGGAGACCCTTACTTCCTTATTCTTGGAAGCTATACCTCTCTTAGTCTAGCTCAAGATTGCATTTTGGACTGCTATATTTCACTGTTGGATCACACTGAAATCTGTAACCCACTAAGGCCCCCCCCTTCCATGTTATTATATAAAATTGAAAGGTTTTGCAGGAATAAAATCAATATAGAATTGTAGATATAATAAGAGGAACCATTTAGTAGATTGAAAAATTGACACCAGACAAAATATATGTATGGGAAATTTGCTAAAATATATAATACCAAGCTGAAGAGAGAAGAGTGGCCTAAAGAGACCACTGTGGATTTATAGAGAACTGGCAAAAATCTTAGATTTTATTTAAAAGTTACTGATGATTTTTGTTTTTGCATCACAGTCACTCCTGGATATAGATTTCACCAACAGACAGGCACATTCCCAATAATTAATCCTTCCCTTATGACAAAAAAAATTAATAAAAATCATATGACCTCAAATGACAATGATACAAGATTCTGGCCCCATAATCCTCTACCTATTTCCTGAAAGAAGAGAGGTATATATTTTACATCTTTCCTCAAAGACAAAATGGTTATTATAATTTGTCAGAGTTCAGTTTCCTTTTATTATTTAAAACAATTACATTGTTGTAAAAAAAAATCCTGAATTGTATTTATGCTCTTTTTAGTCTATATCAGTTCATATAAGTCTTTCTAGATTTTGTTGAATTCCTTGTATTATAATTTCTTAACTGCACTATAGTGTTCCATCACATTCACATACCATAGCTTGTTCAACTCCCTAGTTGTTTGGTACTCATCTGGTTCTGGGCACTTTGCTGCCACAAAGAATGCTGATGTGAATATTTTGGTATATGTTAGATCTTTCTTTCTCTCCTTGACCTCCTTGGAGTATATGCCCTATAGGGAGATTGTTGGGTCCAAAAGAATGCAAAGTTTATTTCTGGAATAATTCCAAATTGCTTTCTAGAATAGGTGGAACAATTCACAGCCCAATCCACTCTTTATTAGAGTACCTGTCTTCCTATAGTCCATTCAACACTGACTTTTTCCATTTTTTGTCCTCTTTGACTCTTTGCTAAGTTTGAGATCAAACCTAAAACTATTTAAATTTGCATTTCTCTTACTGTTAGTGATTTAGGGCATATTTTTAGTTTGCATTTCTTTTGAATGTTTGTTCAAGTTCTTATCTGTCAGGAAATATTGAGTCAATTCCATATTTAGTATCAGACTTTTATCAATGATACATAATGCCAATTTTTCCATTCAACAGTTTTTCTTATTTTGTCTGTACTGATTTTTTTTTGGAAAATATGCTTGAAATTGAATAATAGTTCATTTTGTATTTTATGTTCACCTTTATACTTCATTTGTTTAAAAATATCCTCTCCCCCTACTTCTATGTATAGATGTGAAAGTATTTTCTATGATTCTCTTATAATTATTTTATGATGTTACCCTTTACACTCAGGTTACATAGCCATTAGGAGTTTACTGTGGTATTTGCTATAAATACTAGTCTAAATCTAATTTCTGCCAAGATGCTTTCAAGTTTTCCCAGAAATTCTTGTCAAATCAAAACCACCTTAGATTTTAAAAATACATGTCTAATAGATGGAAATAAGAGCAGTTAATAAAGAATCAATACAAAGGAATGACACAGTCCTGGAAGAATGGGGTCAAGTGGTAAAGTTCCAAAAGGTAAGGAAAGCTAAACGTAATAAAAATTTGTATTTTTAGAAATGAACCAAAGAAGGGATAGGACCACTGCTCAGGTTGTGTGGGATTAATGATCATTGGCGACAGAAAGAAGATGAAATTGCTCAAGAAGGATTTTTGAACAAAAATGGCCCCAGGGGAACCGATACCAACATAAGTGAAGCAATGGTAAGTAAGCACTTAGTTACCTCAGGTGAGATGAAGTCAGTTGGTCTGGATGAACTTTATTTCAGGGAATTGAAAGAACTTGTGGATGTGTTCATGGGGATGTCCCCCATGAATAATCAGCTGGCAAAGGCTGTTTTTATCTCATCTTTCATATATTTCCTCTCCTATCTCAACACACAGCTACCGCCTCTACTTTTAGGTCTCTGTTATTCTTTGCCTACATAACTTTACGACCTTCCTATTTGGTTCCCTTGACTCTTTTCACTTTAATTATACTCTACACAGTTACCAAAGTACCTAAAATGAAGGTCTGAACACGTCACTCCCATTACTCAGCCAACTCCAATGACTCCCTATTGCCTCAAGTATTAAATATAAACCCCTCTTTTTGACGTTTAAGGGTCTTTTCAATCTGACTCCTTATTCCCCCCTCCTTGAACTCTGCTATCCAGCTCTATTGGCCTGCTAACTGTTCTATACCCTTGACGCTTGATCTCCCACCTCCATGTTTTTGCATTTGCTGTCCCCCATGCCTGGAATGTGCTTTGTTTCTCACATTTTCCTAGATTCAGATCTCAAGGTCATATTTAAGCTTATAATTTAATTCATTTTGTAGGACCATGATGAGATCAAGAAACATTAAACACATGTAGCATGGAATGCAGCGTTCCAATTCATTTCCAGCTCTGATCTTCCAAGGCAAAACTCTTATTTCAAGTTGGAGGCCCTTTTACCTCTCTTCACTCTCCTGAGATACAGGAGAGTTCACTTGGAACTTTAAGAAATATCTTATCTCATTTGGAGCTCATTTGGAGATTTTTTTTTTAAAAAAAGGGAAAAGGACCTATTTGTACAAAGATATATATGGCCGCTTTTTATTGTGGTGACTAAGAATTGGAAATCGGTGGGGGATGGTTGTCAATTGGGGAAGGCTGAAAAGGCTGTGGTATATGATTTTGATGGAATATTATTGTGCTTTAAGAAATGATAAGCAGGATGATTTCAGAAAAACCTAAAAAGACTTATATGAACTGAAGCAAAGTGAAGTGAACAGAACCAGGAGAATATTGTACATAGTAACACCAATATTGTATGGTGAAAAACTGTGAATAATTTAGCTATACAATGATCCGAGACAATCTCAAAGGACTCATGATAAAGCATGCTATACACATCAAGAGAAAGAACTGGTAGTCTGAATACAGACTGAAGCATGTTATTTTTCTCTTACTTTCTTTCTTTCTTTCTTTCTTCCTTTCTTTCTTTCTTTCTTTCTTTCTTTCTTTCTTTCTTTCTTTCTTTCTTTCTTTCTTTCTTCCTTTCTTCCTGTCTTTTTTCATTTGAGTCTTCTTGTACAAAATGACTAACATGGAAATGTTTTAGATGTTTGTACATGTATAACCTATATCAGATTGCTTACTGCCTCAGGGAGGGAAGGAGGGATAGAGGGATAGAATTTGGAACTCAAAACTTTAAAAACTCAGATGTTAAAAAATTGTTTTAACATGTAATTGGGGGAAATAAAATATTATAAAAAAGAGAGAAATACCTGTCTCTCAGTAAAATGGGAATGATTGGAAGTCAATTTGACTTACAGCAGATGGATACAAAGGAGCTGGTGAGTACTGAAGGAGATTTCCATAGTCCTGATAGTTGCAAACACATGGGAAAACTGAAAAGCAGAGTTGTTGGCTACAGAGTCCTGAGAACTTTATTCCAAGGTTTCAGAACTCTACTCTAGAATCTAGTTAATGTGCCTATTTATCCCAAGATTACAAAAGAGTGCTGCTCAAATACCCAAATGACTAACAAAAAACAAGGGTGTCATCTGACTATCACAAATGTAATGTCAACATGAACCATGACTATAGTCTTCAATCCAGTTACGCTAGCCTCCTTGCTGTTCCACAAACAAGACACTCTATCTTTTAGTTCTGAGGATTTTCTCTGGGTGTCTTCCATGCTTGGAATGCTCTCTCTCCTCATCTCCATCTACCACTCTCACTGGCTTCCTTTAATTCCCAACTAAAATTTTATCTTCCACATGAAGCCTTTTCCGACCATTCTTAACTTGAGTGCCTTCACTCTCTAAATTATTTTCTATTTAGCCTCTATATGGCTATATATATATTTGTTTGCTTATCATCTCCCCCATTAGACTGTGAATTCCCTAAGGGCAGGGACTGTCTTTTGCCATTTTTGTATTCCTAGTACTTACCACAGTGAATGGCACATAGAAGGCGTTTAGTTTACTGACGGATTTTATTGACTGACTGGTCCATATGCGTGCCATTTTTCTTTGTCTCATTAACTTCCCTTCCATTCTTGCATCATGGCCATAAGTCAGTCAACATGAGCCCCATGCCCTGGATCATAGAATACCAGATTTTGAAGTGGACAGGCCCTTATAGCTTCTCTAACCCAATGCTCTAGTTTTTTTTTTTCTTGTGTAGATGAAGTGATTGAGGCCCAGGGAAGTTAAGCAATTTGCTTGAAGTTAAACAGATCCTAAGTATCTTGGGAAGAAAGGCAACTGAAGCTATATCAAGATGTCAAAATGCTGGCAGAGTTCTAAAACGCTCCTCCTTACAACCAATTCTCACTTTGCTAACCTAACTTTCTCCTCTGCTGATGCCATTATTACTTAGTGGACCTCTGAGTATACTATGGGAGATAAAAGCCCCTACCGACACTGTAGCAACTTTGGTGAGGTCATTTGTGACATGCATGAAACTGGGTCATTGACAGATTCAATAGATGGTAGCTTCTGGATCATGTTGGTTCAGAGCTGGTTGAAAGCCTGAAACCAAAAAGTCATAGTCAATGGATGAGTATCAGTCAAGAACAGGAGTTCTTTACTGGGTTACAAGGAGCCCTAAGGAATTTGTGGTTAGATTTCAGGGAGTCTGTAAACCCGGATGGGGAAAAATTATGTAAATATTTTAATATATTTAGTTCTCTTTGTAATCCTATGTATTTCATTTTATGTATTGAAAAACATTATTCTGAGAAGGGTGCCATAGGTTTCACCAGACTGTCAAAGGGAGTAAAAAGGGTGAAAAACCTTTGATCTAGAGGAAGGTGTCATGGGGTACCCCACATACCTATGGTTGGCTCTGTATCATTAAACCTGTTAATAAATGGTTTGGATGAAAACACAAGTTCCATATACACAATATTTGCAGAGAACACAAATCTAGGATGGATAACTAACATACTGGTTGATTCAAAATACAAAAAGACGTTGGACTAGAATAGTTAGTCAAATATAATAAGATAAAATTTAAAAGGGAAAAATGTAAATTTCTAGAATGGTACATAAATTATCTGCATAAGCATAAAATTAGGTGGGCATAGATAAATGAAAGTTTCTGTGAAAAGGATCTAGGGGTTTAATGAGTTAAGATAAAAATAAGAATAAGAATAGCTAATACAGGCACTGTGATATTTTTTTTCCAGGCACTGTGATATTAAGCACTTTACAAGTATTACTTCATTTGATCCTCACAATAACCATGAGAAGTAAGTTACCATTTTACAAATGAGGGAACTAAGATAGAGAGAGGTGAAGTGATTTGTCCAAGGTCACACAGCTATTAAGTGTTTGAGGCCAGATTTGAATCAAGGCCTTCCTGATTGCAGGCCTAGTGATCTATCCACTGTGCCATCTGGCTAAGTTACAAGCTCATTAAGATTCTATAGTGAAATATAGCAATAAAAAAAAATGGTGATGCAATTTTAGGCTAGGTTAGGAGACCTAGTGTCCAGAAAAGGGAGGTGATAGTCATGATCTACTGTGGCTTTGTTGGGGTACCATATTTTAGGAAGGGCACTGAAATTCCAAAAGTGTCCAGAGAAGAGTTCTGATAGTTAGGGGCCTTGGGATAGTGCCATGTAATGCTTAAGGATTTTTATCCTCTACCTTTAAATATTCTAAGGGCTGTCATGGAAGAAGGATTAGATTTGTTTTGCTTGTTCCCAAAGAGGAAAGCTAGGAAGAGTGGGTAGAAGTTGCAGAATAACTTATTTAGGTTGGATTTAAGGGAAATATAACTAGTAGAGGTATTCCAAAATAGAATGGGTTGCTGGGGGGGGAGTGTAATGCTCTTTACTAGAGGTCTTTAATTATACATACATCACCATCTATTGGGAATTAATTAGTCAGTCAAGGGCCTTCTACGTGCCAGACACTCAGCTATTCACTCGGGATAGGAAGACTCCCCACACACAAAAAAAGTCCCTGCCCTCAAGGAGCTTACATTCTGTTGTGTGGACAATCTGTGCATACACAGATATATATATATACACACACACATATATATGCACTTTATGTGTATGTATATTCACATGAATACATGTGTATATATACATGCACTTTGTATGTATGTATTTTATATATATTTATATGCATGTGTATATATGCACTTTATATGTATATATTTTAAAAATGAGACTGAATTAAAATGTCAGACATTTATATATACATTTATATGCATGTTTATATACATATATGCACTTTGTATGTATGTATTTTAAAAATAAGGAGACTGGATGAAAAATGTCAGACAAGAAAAGAAGAAAAACAGGAGCGAGCAGAGGAGAGGATAACATATCTAGGAGGAAAGTGTGATAAAGTGGAAATACTGCAGATAAGTCAAGAAGGATGAGGATTGAGAAGATGCCATTTGATTTGGAAATTAAGAGATCATTGGTAACTTTGGAGAAAGCAATTTCGGTTGAATGATGAGATTGGATGGTAGATTTCAGAGAGTTTAAAATTGAGTGAGAGGAGACGAAGTGGAAGCAGCAACTGTGGATTACTTTCTCAATGAGTTAGCCAATAAGGGTTGAGGTTGGGGTTAGCCTAGAAGAGAAGGAGGGATAGAAGAGGACAGTAAGCAAGTAGGATCAAATCAGATTTTCTTAAGAATGAGGATAATTGAATGTGTTTGTAGGCAGCAGGAAAGGATCCAGTAGATAGGGAGAGATTCAAAATTAAG